GATTCCGTGGGGGGCATGGGGTTCCGTGGGGGGCACATCTCCTCCCTCTCCTCAGATTATCTTCAGTTTAGAGACCTGCACTCTGTGAATACTACACCCGCTAATTGGTACATGTACGCCCAACAATGAAACTGTGAAATGAGCAGAATGCTTGGTGAAGCTTGAGAGAATGAAGGAGAGGTGCAGACGTTTTGAACGTACAGGTAAACTGAAATCTCCTTCCAATGAAGCGAGCGAAGGGTCGACGATATTGATGTCACCGTTGAAGACGTCCTCTGCCGGGTATAAACTGACAGGGATGGGATCCACCACATGCGACTTTGGATTGATGGCCGGTATGGTTGTCGTGGTAGTAGTTGCCGTGGACAACGGTGTAGAGACAGCCTTCATGACGATGGTCTTGATGTCAGGTGTGGTAGAGGAGACTGTTTTAGCATGAAGGATGGGCTGGGTGTTGTTGTCTTTGACTCGTTCCTCTATTCTCTCAAGTTCCTCTGGATTTACAAAAAAAAGTTCAGTTTTAATTGAAATCTTTGGTATCCCCCCATTAGCTTCAATTCCAAGCTGCACATGTCAATTGAGAAGACATCACATTTCTGCTTGTGTGGTGTATTTGTGTCAATAATCTCAACCTGGGAAGGGTAAAATATCATAAAGAATACACTGAAAAGCACGCATTGTGCACAACTACACCCATCTTCCCTGGACCAGAGTGGTTTTTGCAGTATTTTGATGGATTTCAGACTGCATCATCAAGCATAATAATGTGTACTTTTGAGCAAAAATTTGTGAGAGTTGAAGGTCCAGAAGAACAAACTACATTCACAATCTTTTTTTTTAATTAAACATTCACCAGAAGAGTAGAGAAATGGGAAAATCTGTCAGAGAAAATTCAACACATGTACATCGATGAGCTACGAGCAGTGAATATTGGACAAGGATAATCACAGAACAAACCAAGCAAGGGTCTACCAGCAAATAAGCAGGGTAACAGAAAGGTACATGTACACACCACACTTAACATTTACAAAAGAAAATAAAGTTTACATTTCTAGGAATGAATGACCGGCAGACCAGGACCTGTTTACTGCTGGCCTGCTCAATGAAATGCCAAGACACTGATAGGCCAGTAGGTACATGTCCCAGTACAGATGTACGGGCACACGTACAGTACTTGTACCTCAATTAAGCATGCACATGTATTGCACTGATAGACAATGTAGCTTTTGGGGGAGGAATGTTCCTAGGTACAGAGGTTTAGCACTACACACTGAGTTTAAATTAATCATTGATATTCGTGAGAACATTTACACCAGCCAAGAATTCAATTCTGTTGCCACACTACAGCAATGACGCTTCATTCTCACCGGGCTTGGCCATGCTTCTTCGGATGCCAGCTGGGTCTTTCTTAGTCCATTTGTGGACTTCTTCAGCCATTTTGGCAGCCTTCTCTGGGTTCAGGGCCCAAAGACATCCCTTACGACTTGATCCGTTGGCAGTTGCAGGCTTCTCAATCTTGGCAAAGCACTTGTTTAAGGAGAGGTTATGCCTCACAGAGTTCTATTGCCAAAAAGGTTGCAAAGAAATTGGTTAATTCAATTACGAGCAAAAGTCTGGACAAGGAGAGAAGTTTCAAGCAACTGAAGGTTTTTGTACGATGTAAATGCACATGTACACTGGTTTTCAACATTCAGTATCATAATGGGAAGAAAAAAAAGTTGGAAAATCACCTGATCCAAGAAAACATATTTCCATGTACATGTACATGTATGTTCAATTTGCAGCTTAACAAATTGCATTTATGTTTCAAAGTAAATGTTAAGCAAACCAGCCCTGAATCATCAATATTCACCCAAAATTACCCCTTAATTGAAACGTACATGTGCATGCATGTACATGTGTGTGTACATTATGGGACCATGCACCATGCCACCGGTAAAACTTTACTTTAAGACAGATATTCTGATTTTGGAAAATTTGCAATACAATGATACATGTACATACATGTACATACTGAGGAAAGATCAAAGAAAGCATGATTTCCTAGTACTGTCAGCTTCAAATGTAACTTGAGTAAACAAAGTACATGTACGGTATATCACAACGTGTGTCTCACATGTCAGACTGAATCTTTGAACATACTGTACATGTACATGTCAATTTTGCATATCCCATTTCCTGTATAATTTGTGCACACATGAAATATGACTAGGAAGATAAATGCACTTTTCTCTTTGTGCTGGGTCAAATGGGAGACATGTACATGTATGCTTGGTGGGAACAAATATACCGGTCCTTTTTTACCAACAGAGATTACAGTGAATGTTTTAACCAGTTCTGAGCATACCGGTACATCCATTGCTCTGAGCTTGCATACAAGTCTAAAAAGTCATTCTCACAAAAGCAGAAAATGTTGCGAACACTGCATATTTAGTGTGGTGCTTGGTGTGGTTGTACTAACGGCTGCGCGAACATAGACATTTCCATTGTTACAACTAGGTTCAGCAAATTCTTCCTACAATTAGGAAAGAATGCTTTGCTGTGCTTAGAGGCTTGAGGTCTCCATGAAATATGCTGAGCCTCTGTTGGCAGTTACATGATGTAGGAGTGTGTTTAGCTGCGCTGTGAAATGGGGCCCTGGTAACAGCACAAACATAAAATTGTTCAGTAACTACTCTTTCAATAATTAATATGTGTTGATGAAAAATACCACATTACAAACTAAAACTTTTTCTTGTATATGTACATTCACCCATTTTCATATTATAAATCTTCACGTCTGCACTTGAACAATGAACATGTACTGAAAGCATGTACTGTACATGCATGTATACAACTACATGCACTGAACATGTATACAACTACATGCACTGAACATGTATACAACTACATGCACTGAACATGTATACAACTACATGCACTGAACATGTATACAACTACATGCACTGAACATGTATACAACTACATGCACTGAACATGTATACAACTACATGCACTGAACATGTATGTTATCTGTGTGCAAGATTACAAAAAAAATTGAATGCGTGTCCACACAGTTAACAATAAATCAACAATGAAAATCACTGATTTCCAAACTCAACATATGTACAGTACATACATGTACAATCGCTTCTGTGACTTTTCAGCAAATATTTCATCAATGAAAGCACATGGTCTGGAGCCAAGGTCAGTTTTACTACTCCACTTTACTATCAGTTGTGAAACCCCTGGACCAGAAGAATGGATTTAACCTTCCCTGTCACCAAATCAATACCCCAAACTCTCCTAATGTCCCTGTCCTTCACCCATTGTTCACCTGTGCCACAAGGGCCCTGCTAGGGCTTTTGTTATGCTAATCTATGACAGGTGCAAGCCAGAAATTTGTGTCAACAACCTATGGAATGTGTGTGGGTCAGGGGTGATAAAAAGCCATTGGCTGGATACGTTCCACTCATTTAGCAGGTATGATCTCTTAAATTCTCAGAGGGACTTCAAAAACAGCTGCAGCGAGTTAAGAAAGTTCTGGCTAATAGGTATAGTATTGTAGTGTAATGTAGTGTTTGTACAGCAAACTTTCTTTTAGTTTAGCCCAAATGTCTTTTACGAGTCCTTACATAAACAGACAGAAATAAAAAAAGGACACTTCCCTTTACCTTCTGTAAATACAAACGCCCCTGTTAAACAATGAGTAAGTCCAATGATTGTGATAGTGATCAATGAATGACTCATGGGGTTACTGAGTAGGCCCATGTATGTATTAACATGGAGGTAAATGGTAGTTACCAGTCATGTTGGGTGTAGTCTAAAATGTTACAATGGGTGAGGCATTCATTATTGACAGTCATGACACTTCACTGTGGGCTTCTAATTATTACTTGGAATGAATGGGTGGAAGGGATAAAAACATGTCACAATACAGCACAAGGCACTTGTAAACACATACAATCCTGAATCAAAGAAATTTGCTGTGCAGCCTAATTTAACCTGAATACTGTGCAGGAAACTTAATTTATGCTAATAGCAAAATTTAAAAAAAAATAGGTTTTAAAAAGCTGTCCAAAAATGTTAACTTAAAGAAAATCCCCCTCCAGGTCAGTGGCAAAAAGTCAATCCCCACCTCCTGACTTAACAGGGGCAAAAAGCATGAGCACCGCAGGGTAAAAAAAAAATGGACTGGTAATAATGAAATTGTGACATGGCCCTAGAATTGTTGCATGTTCACGTATATTGTATAGTAACATATGTCCTGGTTGTTTTTTGGTAGCTGCACCTAAACAACGTGCTGAGCCACCACTTTGGTACACCATGGGTACCAGAATATGAGGCCTGGTAGCTGAAATAATGGCATTTTGTGACACAAAGTACATGTACGTGTACAGCAATTTGTGGATTTCCAGGGGATGTTTCGTTAGTTCTGACAAAAGCAATCAAAGGAAAGAATTCCATGCCAAACCATCACAATTTCAAGGGTCATAAACACCAACAAACAGAAGTTTATCTTCAAACCCATTCTCCCTAGGGACCAAGCTCCCTTTCTTTGCTAAACTCCCCAAGTCCCTTTTCGAACTTGTTGGTAACTTGGTGTTCATGGCACTTGAGAATCATGATGGTCTCATATGGACTCTTATGGAGCTCTTGCCAAAATGAAACCAAACCTCTGGTTAGCATGCAAAAATTCACTATCAAAGGTTTAAATTCTAGAAACACACCAAACAAAAAATGCACGTTAACGCACAGGCCCTACATACATGTTTTGGTACAGTGTTCAACCAAATGGCGGGGTGGACATGTACATGTGCGTTTGGCTACGGGCAGGATACATGTACAATGTACATGTAATTCAATTGTGGAGCTTACGTGGAGCTTAGTTAGCGCCCAACACATCTCAGGCCACATTTGTTGAAACCATAAAGCCATCCAAAGTATCATGCAATGTATTACATGTACAATGTATGTGTACACTGTTTATAGCTGGTTCTTGTTTGACTTCTGCTAGGCACAAAGACTACCAAAAGTCACAGATTTGTTTCAAAATCCACAGTCTCATTATTGCAAAGTCTTATCAGCAATGCTATCATTTACATCTATAGAGCAATGTCATTTACAGCCGAGAAGGACTTTACACCCAGTGAGACAAACTTTTTGCAACAAGAGATCAGAAGTGTCACAAAATCTGCCTGCACTTGAGTGAAGAACAAACAACACAGTCTGTCTTAAATGAAGTCAATGGACCTGAATATAAGACATGTATGTTGGTAGCAGTATGACACTCACAGCAAAGCACACTGGGAAACAGATGGTCCCATATTAATACATGTAGTTGAAATATTATTGGTGAAAGTTTGGCCACACAATGCACACATCCCCTTTAGGCCTGTGATGTACATTGCATGTACATGGATTGGACACTGACATTGCCCAGTGCAATGATAGTTATACACGGTATCTCCGTACATACGGTAAACTGATAGAAAATACATGTACCTGTAATGTACATGTACACGTACGTTGCTCATTAATCGGGGCATTCCCTTTTTAAAAATCTGACATGTACATGTATATCAAGACTTCTTGGATCAGAAGTAAAGTTGAATCAAAACTTCTCAGAGTTGGTGGAAGTACAATGTAAGTGTAGCTCTCTTACATTAGTGTGTAAGGTGAGATTGTTGCATGTATAGTTAGTGAGTGCAATTGGAGTCTAAATCTCAACATTTGAGAAATGCTGTACTCATTCCTACCTTCCATCCATCTGGAGCAGTTTTGAAGTACGGAAAGTTCTCACTGTTAAGAAAAAAAAAAGTAAAACTGATTGAGGTACTGTACATTCTGAAGCCTTCACTCAAAAGCAACTTATAACAGTTCAATCATTCATAATTCATGGCTAAAGAAATTTAGTTTCAAAATCTGTATAACTCAAGGTCACAATAATTTTACCCCAAATAAAAATGTACAGATGCCAGTATATCTGATGCAGTATGGTCAAAAATGTTTGTAAAAATCTCTTCAGTGCAAATACATTTGGACCTGTCCCCAGGAACACTGTTGACATTGCTTTTAGTAGCATGATGACCTGCCATCATTTACAGATAAAGGCAACTGAAGGTTATCAAGGAATGGTCAAAAATATTAAGAATTTGACGGCATTCATGTCCCTGATGATCTGTGTCAATCAAGGCTTGTTACAGTATCTTTGTTATTCGACTTGTTTATGGCAGGAAGTTAAAGAACTTACATTGTGTTTGTCTATTAACTCTTTTCCACATCTTAAAATAAAACAGAATCAGCTAATTGGCTGGTCAGCGATGTGTCACTGAATTATTCATCTCAATGCACAGCACAATCACTCACTCTTTAGAACCGAAATTCCATTCCATTGGTAAATGGGAGAATTTCCTTTAATAGTCGGTCGCAAGAAATTTCTGAAACCACAGCAATAGGTGGTGCAAGGATTTATTCAGGTGGGATATCAATCCTGATTTAATCAGGAGATTTGGGGATTTGAATTAGTTGTGATTTTTGTGTTATTGTATGAAACAAACAATGCATATTTCATTATTTGTGGATAGTTACCTTCATTCAGTGAGTGATGAAATGTTCTTTTCCACCTGGTACAGTGGTAAATTATTCTAACAGTACATATAAGTACCACAGCACTTACAAACATTCATCATTTGGATTATGACATCAGGAAAATACATCTTGTCTAAATTTTGACTGTGAAACATAGGTAAGAATCCAAGAGTAGATCTGGTGTAACAATGACTATTTTAATCACCAGTGTTCTCAACCACAAAGAGATATTGAGGGGGAATTTTGGACTATAAAACCTGAACATTACTAACAAATGCTGCCTTTTCCATTTTCCTTTTCCATCTTACTTGGACAACTTCAGCCAACCACTATTGGTTCAAAACAACCTGTACACACAAACTCATGCCACTAGTACTGAGTGCATTACTTAGTTATTAATTTGTACATATATGCTTTACTGACACACCCAGCAACGGATAGGATGGGCGTGACCCATCACATCCTTAATCAAGGTGTTGCACCAAAAAGCATAGTCACCATTACACTTTTTTTTTCAAAACCTGTCACTACGCAGTTACAGTGCACGCTATTATGAAAAGAAGACTTGAAAGTGGATGAGCAACAGTGGTAAAGTGTATTGCACAACTGTACATCTGTTCCATCATATTCAACATCTGAGAGGATTATTGCAAGATTAACAATTTGTGGTGAGCAATACATGTACTGTACATGTATTTTGCCACAAAGTACTGTATGTGTACATGTACTAGTACCCAATGATCAATTGGGTGTGTCATAGGTGCCAGGGCACCGGTAATTGATTGAATTAGCAGTGACAGTGACTTCATATCTAGTACATGTACATGTATCTCATTTCAACAGTGGCATTTCTTTACTTACATGTAGTCATAAAGCCCAACATCAGACTTTCACTACTGTAAGAAATCACAAGGTGTGACAAGTCCCCAATAAAGGCAATTCACTATGAAAGCTTTATGATTTTGCTGTTTCTTTCCACTCATTTTTTTACCTACATGTATGTGTGTCCATTTAAGTCAACAGCTTGATATCAGCCTGAGCTTAATGTGCAAGGAACAAAAAATTGCAAGATGACTCAATTGTTTTTAAAAACAAAAAAGAAATGGAAAGAGTTTCAAACATGTATACAGACAACACTAATTTTCCCTTAAGATATAACAACAGCCATCAGAAAGTGAAAACATGTCCCACAAAGTAAAATTTAGCAAGAAAATTCTGAAGTACTTTGAAAACCCCCGGTTTTTTTAGACAAGTCTCATAGATTTGGGCACGGGCATCAAGTGTTGCCCATACATGTATGGAACTTTAAGCTACTGGTACGCCTCAGATCTCGGGTGGTTATGATTTGTACAGATTTTATTTCGGGAAGAAGTCTGTATCATCAACTATTTTAGTGTCATAAACACCTACAAGGTTTTTTGAAAAGGCACCTGTTAATTTGAGAGGGATTTCAGTAAGGGGAGGGGGTTTTTCAGTACCCGGGGAGCAAGTTTAATAAGTAGGGAACACTTGATTGTATTCATTTGTGAAATTGAAAAACTCTGCAGGTCCAATACAGAATTCATTGCAGTTTCATTAAATAAAATATTTGGTCTTACTCCAAATCACATAATGTATATGATCCCTGCACTGCCTGCACATGTACATGTATGAACTCATTGAAGTCCTAAAGGTTTAAGCTTTCCAGCCTAGCCAGTGATTTCAAAGGTGCACATTGTATTTTCAAGAGGCTAGGTATTCTGCAATTACTCCCAACACAGGGTGAGCAGATTCATCAGCAAAAGTTCCTTTTTTTAAAGAAATCCATAATCCTTGAAAATCTCTGGAAAAATCAAACAAGGACAAAGATTTGGGATGTTTTCAAGTTGAATTCGCACGACCTAAACAGAGGACTTGCTGACACATGTAGGCCTGCTAAAGATTTGTTTTAGGCCTAATGAGTTTGTTCTTCAGCAGCTGCAGTTCCTTGCAATGTTCCAGTCCTTTGCAAAAGCTAAAATGTTAAAACAGAAGGTTAACATCTACTGATACATGTACTTACCACATGAACTGGTAAATATCACTGACTGGCATGCAACCAGTTTTGCTATTCTTCATTGCCATGGTGATCAGGCAACTGTAAGAATATGCTGGCTTGGGATACACCTTCTGCTCTGTTCCCGCCACTGGTTCCAGTTTCTGCTGCTTCGACAAGAGACTTGCTGTCTGATGGGGAGTGGAGGTACCCAGAGAAGATGGGGGATTTTGCTGAGACTGCAATCCAAGAACTGGGAGTGTTTGGAAATTGACTTGGCCAGCTAGGAGACCACTTTGCTGAAGCTGTTGTGGTGTGAGCGACAGAAATTGCTGTTGTTGAGCTGGTGTGAAGTTCATCTGGGTCGATAGATTGTCTAGAGTCTGGCCTTGCTCGAGTTGCTGCTGGAGAAGGATTGTTTGATTTGGCTGTGGTTGATGATCAGGCATGCCCAACACAACATTCAGAGTTGACACAGGCTGGCCTGTCTGAGGGTTCACCAGTAATCCCTGACTATCCAAGGCGAATTTCTCCGGAGAGCTCAGCTGGGAGATATCCAGATTGGCATTCCCGGTGGAAGTGGTGGTGGCGGTCGTGGAAGCGTGTGAGATGGTGTCTGAGAGCGTCCCCATCCCATCCGACAGCCAGACGATGTCTTGCATGGCGCCCTGGTCTGTGGAGAATTCCCCAGCCAGGTCGCCATTTTCGTTGGGATTGTACCCTGTCAGATCTATTGTTTCCGTCTCTGGGTCGTAACTGGCCGATCCAGACCTCAAAATCTGGTCCATTTCCGTCTGCACTTCAGCCTCGAAAACGTCACGAACAGAAAGGTCCATGTGATTTGAATCGAAGTAATCCATAGCTAGGCCTATGTATGTAGAGCAGTTGATGTTCCACGCGTTATGAAAGCCAGTGCACCGTTACGTGCTGTGGCATGCGTCAATTGATCAATGGACGATACGACGCAAAATGTCAACGTGCACACGTTAAAATTTTCCTACTTACACATTTACGTTGCCGTTCCGAAGCACGGTTTTAAGCAAAATGAGCTGTGATTTGTTAAATAAATACCTGCACAGATGCAGCAGAAGATGCCTCGGTGGACTGTCAATGCGTGGTTGCCGGAAATCAAGTTGAAACGATTAATTTGTTTGGTTTTACGCTGTGCCATTCGGAGTATGACTGATGCACAGGTGGTACGTTCGTAGTAAAATCGTAGTAAAAAGCCGTTGACTGAACCTTGAACAAAGGGCGAATAGCAATTTGAATGAGACTTAACGTATTGGTCCACTCGGGCCACGTGGGAGTACTTAATTATGCAGGACGCCGTGATTGGTCCTTTTCAAGGAGTTGTCACAGCAAAACCGCACTGGTGAATATGAAAATTTGTTAACAGGGTATTTTTCACTGGCCCGGGGAAAAATCAACAAACAGCGCATGTAATGTTATTTTGAAAAGCTATACGTACAAGGCCGTACTCCAGAATCAGACAAGCACAGTGGTGTGTTGCTTGATAATGAATGTGTTTTATTTCATCCTCAGTGGAAAAATAAAACCGTCAATGCTTAGCACGTCCAGTGTAACTGCCAAGTAAAAAGGAATTGTATTGCATGTTATTTGAAAAGCCATACGTACAAGGACGTACTCTAGAATCAGACAAGCATAGTCGTGTTTTGCTTGATAATGAGTGTGTTTTATTTCATCTTCAGTGGAAAAATAAAACCGTCAACGCTTAGCACGTTCAGTGTAACTGCCAAGTAAAAAGGAATTGTATTGCATGTTATTTATAATCTCAGCAAGATTTACATTGTAAACATGACACTTTTTAATTCTTTTACTCTTATCCCAGAAAACCTCTGTACAATGTTGTCAATAATCCGTACTGGTGTGTTGAATTATCATTTTAATGGTTTTCTTTAGGAAAAGTAATACAGGGGAGCGGGTTAGCGTGTTAACGTGTTTAAGCGTAGCGGTTTTTTCCTGCCTTGGCCCAGGCTTTAAGTGCATTTGGTTTCCAGTTCACTCTCACAGGTTTTCTCCGGGTACTCCGGTTTCCTCCTGCCTCTAAAACTGGACCTTCTTCCTAACTCCGTAATGTGATGCTGATTAATAAGGTGTATGAATAAACGTACAGTTATTGGCACAAATAGCCCAAGTTGCTGAAAGCGCCATTAAAACAAAACAGCAACAAGAAGTAATACAGTACACTTGAATCACGAAGAACGAGATTTGAAATCCTATATATTTTCTTAGGAAATAGAAAAATTACTTCAAGTTAGTTTTCACTCTGAATAAATCATTCCAATAGAGATTGTCCTATTCATGATAGGTTTAGTCTCCATGCAGTATCAACTACGTTGTACGGATTTCTGTTTGTTTTATTTGCTTTCTTTTAAATCTTGCTTTGGTTTTGTTTTTGTTTTGGACGAGTTGATTCATTTAAGCAAGTCATTTCTTTTCAACTTGTTGCTCCCCTCTGATTTATCTTTTAGAGATTTTTATGTGTTTGCTTTTCAGGAGTGAGAAAGGGTGCTTCGAGAGTTGATGTTACTAGTTTTTGTTTTTTCGCTGCTTTAATTTTTTGTCGGTTTCCCCTTCTACTATGTATTGTTCTTTGTCACGTTTTTCTTGCTTAACACACAAATTTACCAAAAGGATTTTTCTGTTTAGCATACCCATATAGGAAGCGAGTTATTTCATCCGACAGGAACATATTTTACCGTAGAAACTGCGATGTCTCGCGTTTTACTCCCCATTACCGTGTCGTCTCTGTCGCAGGATGCAAAGAAAGGGGTTTTAATTAATAAGCCAAATTGCTTGATGTAACACGCAAGTTAAGAACCCTACATGGTTGATTATATTTAGGGGGTCTCCCAACCTTTAGACGGACACGCAGCCCCCCCCCCCCAATAAAATGGTAGTGAGTGGGGGTTGACCCCAACCCCCAACCCCTTCCGATCCGCGCCTGGCCATGTGAAAATATCATCAAACCTGGGACCATTTAAAAATGGTGTCTGTCCATGCTGAGGTTTTTTTATTGAACCCGCATGAATTGACATGATAACACGAATTCACATTGGCGAAAACATTTCAATGATTCTGTCCGACTTGACCTGTGACCGTAATCACCCCCCCTCCCGGGTTGGTGTTCAGTCCCCCGGATGTCCCTTTTGTTGGTTTCTTAATACATGTTCTGTACATCCCAAATTGCTCATCGAGTACTGTTGCACGATATATTAATTTTATGTCGTAAATATAGATAAGTTGTTGATTCTACATTTTTTGGTTGATTTGAGCTGTGACTGAGCAGAGTCAGCAAAACTCTGGCAAAACCCAACCAGACCTCCTGCTGCTTTTACGAGGTACGCGGCACTAGTGTCATGTTGACAGTGGTTGGCCGCCAAAATGCCAACGAGTGTGCGGCATAATTAAAGAGCTGTTGAGTAGTGGGCACATAAACCACGCGACCGTCGCGTGCGGCTTCAGCTAGATCGGTTGCAATGTTGTGTCGCGTGCCGCAGTGTTAAAACGATAATGCCGTGGCATGCAGCTTGCTGGGGTTTACAAATATAGACCAATACAAAAAGTAGGGATTACAGCAGAATTTGCTGTAATGAGAAAGACCACCAAAGATTGTCCAGAAACGCACCAATGTCAGATTGGGAAATGGCTTGATTTCAAAATCAAACAATCACTCAAAATCGAGGGTTTGTGATTCGATACCCATCATGCAGTGACCGTCATGAATGGAGGAACCAGCTAGTCAGCTGAACAGGTGAATCCCCAGGAAGCGGGAATATACTCAATGTCCAAAGTCTTCAGGTGTAAAATCGCCACTGAGTTGACGGTTTTTTCAAATGTAAAAGAACAAAAGAATTCAGAACTGAGTGTATTATGGTTTAGGGCACAATTATGTTTCCATTACCATATGAACTTTGGGTTAACAAAAATTCTGGTTTCATTCTCCCTACGTGGACTCAAAGCCTACGTGGCCATGTTTATAGTTGCTATAATCACGTACAGTTATGATAGCCTAGCTCAAGATTGTCCACTTGCTCTTCCGAGAGAGCAATTGAGCGGTCTTTTTTGTAAACCTTCCCTTGCTTGCAAAGATAATGTTGGGGTAGACCAGAACGACGACTCGACTTGTCTTCAGTTTGAAAATACCGGAACTAAATGTCTAATCATCCCGTTATTGTTCCCTTGCAGTAAACCATTTCTTGCAAGATCCCAAATTAAATAGGGCCACACGCACACGGAATTTCCCGAAACAGTCCCTCAAGGACTCTTGGTGAGTCCGATTTCCAGTTCCATGGTCCCATGTAAACGGCGATCATTGCATGTAACCCTATGTGCAGTTCACGTGTGCAGTGGGCGTGTTTTAAACTGATGTGACGTCACACTTACGAACCGGATAAAGGTCTAACATGTGGGCAGGCGCGTACGATACGCGCGGTTGGAACACGGGGTGCGTTCCAGCAAGCTACTCGTGTTAACACGAGTATACTCGTGAGCGCTCGAACGGCTGGAGTACGACTTACTGGTCAGCGAGAGTATACTCTCGCTAGAGGAGAGGGGGTACTCCTGCATGCACCCAAGTGTAATGCGCACGCAACCTGCGTGTGTTAACAGAAGTAACCGCTCGAACGCACCCACATAGTGTGGCATTGGAGCTGAGCCTGTTTTAAAATTAAGTGCCAACGGGCGCAGTGATCGGGACTTACTGGATCGATCTATTGTTCGCCTAGAGTAGTCACTTCGGTACCCTATAGAAGTGACAGAAGAAGTCAAACCCTTGCTTTAATTAGCCATGGAAGGATGAAAGAAAAAACATCTGTTATATCTTGTGATGCAGTAAAACTAGCCTCTGTCGGTGATAAAACGCTGAACAATTTCTTTGCCCAACGTTAGGTACCAGGTGAATCGCCTTGGGCAGAAGATCAAAACGCTGGGTAAAAAAGAGGTTTTAAAAAAACACTTTCTATAGCTGTTGCGTAAAATAAGGCAGGGTTGCCCATATTTTAGGAGAGAATCAACGCGGTTGGGTAATCTGTTTGCCCAACAGCGATTCACCTGGTACCTAACACTCCATCACAGTAAAAAAAAAATGCGCAACGTTTTTACCGTGATGGAGCGTTTTAGTTTTTCTTGGCTTCGCCTAGGGAAAAATAATGCCCCATCAATCACCTCATGAGGTTGTTTTCATACACCACTCGAAGCAACTAGTTTCTGGTATACATGTACATGTATTATGTATGTGATATATTTGTGTAAAGGTGATTAATCGATTACCTGTGCACGTGCGTGCCTCCTCGGGCCTTCGTCCTCGGGAAATACCACTAGACCACATTTTTACTGGTTACGGCGCCCTCACTACTGAGAATATTGAACAATAACATTGAAGTGCTTGTTGAATTGCTGATTAGTTGCATACTTTAATTAAAAAAATTCGGTTATAAAACACTATATATTTTAGAAAGAGGTGTGTTATAAAACGTATAGGTACTGCATGGCATAAATTTGGGGTCCAACGTGTGACATATTTTCTGTCCCTGTTACACCTGACCTGTGGAATTGGACAAAGGATATCATCGACATTGACTTCAAAATATTTATACATTTTTTGCTGGTAATTTACATTTTAATCACTATAATTGGAAATGCATGAATGCGTTGAAAGAAGTAACAAGGACGGTAAAACTTTGGACCTCAAATTTATGGAATGACCCATGATCCAGTCACTCTTGCACCTCCATGCCCCCCACCCCCGGGCCTGTGAGTGACCGGAAAAGAGTTCTACTTCCCTTGGCCATCGACCTCGGTAAAAAAGATTACTTCCCGTCCCCCGGGCGCATGGATGTGCGCGAGTGAATTCCTTGCCGGTCCACATGTAAATTGCTCTATGCTTGAATCAGAGGAGCAGAAATTCAGAACGACTTATAAGTACCCTAGGGTTTTGACCAGTTGTATGAGGCTCAAAACATCTGAGATCCACACTGTCGTAAGGACTTAAAGGGAAGTTGCAACCAATTTTTTAATGCACTTTTGCGTCTCAGTTAACCTCGAAATCCCACTTTTGTTTCACTACTACAAAGGGTATTTTACTGCATTTTCTGGTGTTTATGCCCATGATTTTTTCCATATTCATGAAGAAAACTGTGATGTCATTTCAGGAAGAAGCCTCAATGCTACATTGGTTTGTACATGAAAAAAAAG